CGCCAGCAGAAGCAGATCTCGACCAAGGTGCTGGCCCAACGTATCATTGGCAGCGCTTTCAATTTCCTCGCGAGCTTTGCTGAGTCCGACCCCTCTAATAGGGGCCATGAGGTCGTCTCTCTCAAGAGCTTCCGGGATTGGTGGACCAAGTTTGAGCGTCGTGTCGAAGTGGATCCGACGTTTTTGGAACGTGAGGATCCCAATGCGACGTGATGGTTCCTTCTCCTGGCTGCTGTTTATTTCTGGCCTGTTATTCTGAGCGGAACGGGATGGACTCTTCTGTATCTCTCGGATGGTGATGCTGTATGCGGTACTGTCAGGGATTGGTGTATGTGGTTGCGCTTGGTTGTCTTGCATTGGATATATAGCGTTCATCTTTTTATGCTCTCGTTATGTGTAACGATAATCTGTTTTTCCTTGCAAATCATACTTGTCTCAAATATGACTATTCACGTGCTTATCAAAGGCAATTGTAGAAATATATATCGCTGCACTAGCTCAACATGAAGTTGAGAATAATAATAGATTTTTATATTTACAGCACGAATAGATGGTGACAACGAAGACATAATAAAGGACGTCGTTTATGGATGTAAGGTCATCAATGCTTTTACTCACTCCCCAACGCCAGCCAAAAGAACAAAACAACCATTATTCAAACCCCCAACTTCACCGAGACCTGATGCTGAAACATCGAATCCGGACGCAGCCGCATTCCCTGTGCATGACAAAGCCCATACAACTCATCCACATAGGAAGTAGGCAATCCAGCAGCAGTAATGATAGTGCGGGAATCATGGGTATTAGTAGAAGTTGGGGTGAGAGGATCATGGAGCTGTGTAACATCTACACGAAGTTCTTTGTGGACTGTGATATTGTGCAGAGGCGATGTCATAGGTTCAACAAGGGACTCCTGTGAGGAAGGAACTGCAGGCCTGAGGGCTGTCTGTTTACTTCGCGATGGCCAAAAGCGGTGAATTCCTGAGCGGCTAGGGGGTGGAACGACGTCAGACTCGGTGGCTGAGGAGGCGGAACGGATGTCTGTGCAGAAGAGTTCTTGGCCTAGCTCGCGGATGAATGCATCACGGTCTGTAGCGTCGTTGTTGGCTTGTTGCTGGACTCTGAAAAGGCGCAGTGGAGTGAATGTGAAGTCTGGGTTGGAGATTTGGGTATTGAGGGATCCGACAACGCAGAAGGCGAGGAGGGTACATTGGTGTTGAATTTGGTTTTCGGTTGGGGGTGTAAGCGTATTGCAGGCTGTGGTGAGAGGTCGAGATGAGAACCGCGAGGCAGAGGCTATGTCCTCCGGTAGACTTTTTGATAGCGAGGTAATTGCGCGGACTAGGTGATCGCGGAAGCTAGCCATGGAGATATCCAACTTTTCAGTCTCCAGGTATTTGAGACAGTGGCCCATGGACCATCCTTCCATGTGCGAGAGGAGTTCCAGGTGCCGCACTTGCAGCTGTTTTATAGGCAGAGTTGCGGACGGCAGAGGATTGCCCGTGCCCTTGGCAGTGAGAACCTCAAAATGATCGTGGATAGTTGGGCGCATGATAAATGAGGTGAGATGCACGCCCTCGCTGAATCCACGCTTCGACGACGCGTAGTCTCGCATGTCGCGCAGGTGATGAAGAAGACTCGCTTCGGGGACATGAATACGGCGCGAGAGCGTTGAAGTAACATGCTCGATAGTCGCGAATCGGAAACCCAGTGATGCCAGACGTGCCGCTTCGTATTTCTGCAATTGCCGAACACTGAACATCAACTGGCCTTTTCCAGTGCGCAGCGAAGAACGGCCCATTGCCCGAGAGATACGCGAGACGGGGATGGCGGTGTCTAGAACGTCGTCGTACAGCATCCCCAGTTCCTGCAGGGGAAGGCGAAGTTCAGTCGAAAGGTCCCGTGCAGTGACGCAGAATAGCTGCTTGAAGAGAGTATCGAAATCCGTCTGCAATTCTGTTTCCTTGTCCATCACCGCCCCTCGCGAGAGAGCGTGTTTCTGGATAGCCTTTCCCTCGGATTCAAGGCGGGTTTGCATCAATGGGATCAGCTCTCTGATTGTTGTCCAGTTGCGACTTGCTCGGAAGGCCCAGAGGAAGCTTTGGTGCGTGCGGGTCAGGTCGTCGTCTTTGAATGTCTGGAGAAGTATAAGGGTCAATTACACCGAGGAAGATCACGGGGAGAACATACTCGGCCAATGTAATGCTCCACAATCTTTCGACTTGGGAGAAGTGCCTGCGGCGTTACCATGACTCGACCGGCAGGGTCGAAATAGGCACATGCGAGCACAAGCTGATGTGCACGAGTAGTCGATCTTCTTCGATTGCCGCCGGCAACTATAGCGCACGCGGATAATATCACACAGGAGACACAAGCCTAGGATATCAGTCAGTCACATACATACCTTCAGCGAGGGATAATCGACCTTACCAAGACGGCACAGATGATAACAACCTGACCTCTAGACAGCTGCGTCCCATGCTTCAGCGACTCATCGCGCTCACGATAAGACGTCCCCACAGCCGCAGTCCAATGCATACCGGACACCGCGCCAGCAAGCAGAAAAGCACATATTCCCCGTCTCCACCAACTATCCGTCCAAGACGCCCTCCACCGAAAGAAAATGCCAAGGGCAGTAGTGCTGGAGAAAATAGCAATCACCGCCGAGCCAATTACATTAGCTACACGGTAGGAACACTTGTAGTTGGCGATGCCGAGCTGGCCCACGTAGTGCATACCGCAGACCGAACTACCGGTGAGTAAACCTCCTGCCAGGATACGAATGTAACCCGCTCTTTCCTCAACGCCGATCGCGTAAAAGGCAATAAGCAGCACGGCCACGGGGAGCACGAATGAAGTGCCGGTGAAGGCGACGTTGTAAAGGATTTGGACATCGGGGCTTCCGTCTCCCAGGACGACGGCGCGGTTTCCGATGAAGTGCATGCACCAGATGCCGATTCCGCCCATGGTGATGGAGGAGGTGAGGAGGAGGTACCTGGGATTGAACATGGTTATGGGATGATCAAGTTGGGCGAGAGTCCGAACATACCAGTTGTAAAAGCCTGCTCTTGAGGTCCTCCGGTGAAGAAGCTCTACGGTCGTTGCACATCCCATCGAGCTGATCACATAGGATAAAAGGATGTAGCCCGCTAGATAGAAAACGGGGATATGAGGTTCGTCATGAGCACTAGCGTCTGGGCCTGCCAGAGACATTTTGCTTGAGGAATGAGAGGAGAAAATGGTCAAGAGTTGGTGTGACGCAAGGTCTGTCTGACCAACAGAGAACAGAGATGTAGACGAGCGGTGGCTATACCAGAGCCATGTAGAGAGAGTAATGATTTGCAAAGGGGGCAAAGAAAGGAATGATAATATCGTACCCGTCCGGCATTGGTATCTTATACCCCATATGGACCGACCAGGCGCTAGACATGTACACCATTATTTTTGCCATGCTCTCAATGCAGCATCGTCCCCAGGTGGATGGGTCACCAGCCTCAAGCCAACAAACCAACAAAAGTACGGTATTCTGACTGAGAGCTCCACCAGAGAACCACATATTATCTACTCGGCTACTAGTTAATAAACTCGTGTGTCCTTTCTCTTTCCGCGCTGCAGCTGGAAGAGTTTCGGATTAATCAATTCGAATCGTTCAGGTGGGATGGGGCAAACAAACATGGGTCACTGGCCAGGGGAGGCATTCGGGGCGAGGATTGTCTTGAAGCCGGCGCTTCTTATTCGACAGATGAGATCTAGATCGGATCGCTGCGGGTAGGGAACGATGGGGCCGTGGAGCCCAACAGAATGCACGGACTGGTAGCCCCGATTCTTAGTATGTAATGCACCGGCGCCACAGTGACATTCGCAGATAATAAATGACAATGTAATTGTCCGCTAGTCTCTTTGTAAGTCTCGGTATTCATACTGAGGCTCGGTCCCACCGACTCGTTGATTGCAAAAGTGGGTTCTGGTGCGCTAAGCGATGAACTCAGCTGCGCCGTGTCAAAACCCTTAATCATTGCGAGAAGGCAACCACATGCTGATGGGAATTAAATTTTGGACTGCCCCAGTTATGACACCTGTCGCATTGGAATATGCAGGTGGTGGCGTTTGAAGACGATTGATCAGTCAGATCAAGTTCTAGGGAATCTTTGTCTTTCCTATGTTGAGACGAATGGCTTTGGACTGAATTAATCGCCAACTGCACTCCCCTCAACAGAGGACAATAAAGATGAAGGATCTGGGTTTCATCAATACGGCCGGTAGTGCTGACGATGGCTGGCCCCTCCATGAACAGTGGGCCGGGTCTAGCGCCACGGAGCGATTAGCACGTACATGGAACTAAGGCGATTAGTGTAACCGTGCGATGGTTCGTGGCGGGCGTGTCTCAAAGCAGCCATGGCTTCTAGAAGCGAAGTCCGAAAGGATCTGTATCCTTTTCTCGTGTTTGATAAGCCTCTCAATGAGCTGTCATAGCGACATGGTTTTGACCGTCGGAGATTTAACCGGATTGAGCACCTGTCTCCTATAACAGTATGGCTGCACGTAGTAGGATTAGGAAGTGTTGTTACACGTAGTTTTGTCCAGGTGGGGAGAACTGATACGTCGGATGGTGGCTATTAGGTTTGACCACCTGTCAACCACATGGCCATGACGTGAGGTAAGTCTCTAGCGGATGAAAGTCTAAAACTATTTGTGGTGGAAAATGATGATCCGAGAAGAGTACTGTGACATTTTGTCTCCAGTTTTGTCGAGGTCGAACATCCTCGTGGTGGGGTGGTCCTGCATTAGGGCAGTAGGTGCATTGCATACGCAGTCAATCATTCAATATTATTGCTGATCAACTGCATCTACACTACTACTACAGTTCATCACCACCTCAATGAAAAAGAAAGCATGATCTACTGCCCAAGACACGCAACGTAGTCTTATAGCATTGCATTGCATCTATCTCAAATACACTCAAAATAAAACCCCGCCCCAAAGTTCCGCTCCCAGCTAGCTTACGCGGCAAGCAGCTTCTGCAGACCAGCCTGGATAGCAGACGGGTTAGCGCCGCGAACGGCCTCAACCTTCTCGCCACCCTTGAGGAAGAGGAAGGTAGGCATAGCAGAGATGCCGTTCTCTGCCGCGACTTCGCTGACCTCGTCGACGTCGACCTTGAAAAACTTGACATTGGTGTGCTCGGTGCTCAACTTCTCAATGGCGGGCGCGATGGCCTTGCAAGGGCCGCACCATACGGCATGGAAGTCGACGACGACGGGGTCACTCGAGTTGAGGACCTTCTCCTTCCATTCCTGCACCCTGTACGAAACAATATCAATTAGTATATGGTTGGATGGAGTAAGATATTTGGGTTATATTTCACGTACGACTTGATATCAACGATGTTGCCTCCCATGGTGATTGGAGTTGAGTGGAAAGTTCTTTTAGGAGGTGAAGAAGTGGGGTACGTGAGGACAGTTGTGCGGCTGGTGGTTGTGGTGGTGGTGCGCAGAAGCGAGGATGCGACGAGTGGTGCTCTGTGTGCGGTGGTGGAAGTAATCCTTCGAGCTGAAGATACAGAAGCCTGACGAAAGGATGGGGTGATCTGGGGAAGAGGAAGTGAGCTTTTTTCGGACGGAGGGGCAGAACGCTGTGGCTTATATAGCAGGGCCGATGACGTGCCGGGGCCGGGTCGAAGGTGCTTAGGTAATGGGGGGGCTGAATAATCCAGACATAGCATGGAAGCATCTAGGGAGGGGGAGATGGCGAAGTGGCACTTACCGGGAACATGGGGTGTGCAGGGTGTGTTGGGCAACAGGAATTGGGCACCGGATTAGTATTATTCGGGGTGAGATCGGGTTGGGTAGTCCAATGGAGAAGGAGAAAGGTGGCTGGTCCGAGGGAGATGTTTGAGTGATGGGCCAGATGCACGGAAAGGGGCAGGCGGTGTGTCGATGGTGGATGGCGTGCTCGCTGGCTGACAAAGGGGCAGCAGTCTGGATTTCTAAGAATAGAGAGGTATAAACCAGGTGAATAGTGACTACTATTTCTTTGGATGTACAGTCATATGAGTTGTCGCAGAGATGATGGTAGAGAAAAGGTATATTAATATCATGGAGAGAAGAAGGTAGAGGACCAGATTATTGATCCGGAAGATGGTGTATCAAAGATAGGTCTTTAGGTGGTAGGACAGTGGATTGCAACATCTAGCAGGGCTGAAAGAGAGGGCAAAATGGGGGTATCAACAAGCTAAGAGAAAAAGGAATTGGTGAGAGGGAATGTGGATGCGGATGTGCCACATAGTACACGGCGTGAAGTCTCGGATACAAAGGGAAATGCAACACAAAGGAAAAAGGAGTGGAAGGCGTGATGGGTTTTACAATCGGGGTTGCCTAGACGGTAGTATCTGGAACAACAACGCCAGAGTCATCCACATAGCCGGTTTCGGGCTTGACACTCGCGACCCGGTGAAGTTCGGCACCAGGCGCTTCGTCGGAAATGTAATCGTCCTCGGCAGAGATGGGGGACAGCGAAGGAATGCTCTTGAGCATGCCCTGGGTAGACTTGGGACGGGAGATGGGGTTGACAACCACTGGGCGCTTGGCAATCTCATTGGGCCAGAGAGTCTCGGTGGGCTTGCCGGCTTCGACACCCCCGGTCGTATCAGTGTCAAGTTCGGGCTCGCCCAAAGCGTTGCTATCGGACGCCCCATCACCCGAGGGAGAATCGAACGATCCCGGCATCGGCCGTACAGGGCTGCCCGGCTTGTTCATTCGACGGAAGAATTGACCCGACATCCACGAGCCTTCCGAGTCAATGGAGGCCAAGGATTGCGAGAGGGGCACGTTGTCTGGATCCGCGTCGAAGCTGGCCTTGGCATTGTCGATGTCCACACCAGTAGTAGTACTTGGTGCTGCATCATGGAGGAAGGATGTTTCTTCATGCTCCATGGAGGATTCCCGTTCTTCGGGGATGCCCGGGGACTGGAGGCGCGAGTCCGGGGGTGAAAGGGGCGCGTCATCAAAGATTTCGGTGAATTTGGACTGGGAGCGTTGGATGTTCCCAGTGGGGATAAAGGGTCTCAAAGGAGGCACCACAACGGGTGCCGGAGGGGGAGATGATTGGGTTTGGACCCTGTAGAAGGATTCGTGTGAGACGTTGTGCGATGCGTGATGAGAGGTGGCGTTGGAAACGTCTGGGCTGGACTCATGAAACCGCTCCCGGTAACGCTTAAGACGGTTGGAGCCGCGACGGAAGAGCGAAGTGATCGTGCCGACACGGCGACCACTGGTATCGGAGGTCCGTCGGTCAGAGTCAATCGTTCGGGAAAGATCAGAATTGGAACCGGGCCCAAAAGCCTGAGAGCCGCTGGGGCTGCTTAAACCTTGGCGAAGCGAGGAGTGAGATGGGGACAGAGTTGTTCGAGACATGGCCATGTCCTGCGATGGCGCAAAGCTGCGGCTCGGGACGATTTTCTGGTCGCGCACAGAGCTGTCATCAATATTCCCAATGACACGGGCGCTATCCACAGATTCGCGAGTCGCCTGGCTGTCCTTGGAAGCGTCTCGCAACCACGACCCAGCTTTTGCTGGAGCTGCAATAGGAGTCGCTTCATCGGGAGGATAGGCATCGGCGTCCTCTGCGTGGGCAGATTCATTTTGGGTTGCGGCCACTGTGTGCTGCTCCACCACTTGCTGTTCCTCCACATCTTGTTCCTCGGCTTTTTGTTCCTCGAGTTGTGGTTCCGCCGCTTGCTGTGCATCCGCTTTCTCTTGCAGCTTGCGCCGGAGCTTCTCCTGATCTTCAATCTGCTTCTTCTCTCGGCGGCGACGGTCCCTATCCAACAACTCTCGCAGCGCCCCTGCATCCAATGTATCGGCAATATCTTTTACACGTCGCTTCGAATAATAGAGTTCCTCCTGGGACATTGTCAAGGCCTGGAGTCGGTCTTTGTCCAGTCGGTGAGAGGCCGCTGAGTCGCGGCCGCCTCTTGCAGCAGATGGCGCACGGGGGGATTCCACATAGCGGACGGCAGGGCGTGGGGTCAAAGCAGCAAAGGCGTTGACCTTGAAAGTGTACGGATCCGACACGTCCGACAAGGAAGATCCGGTGGAATCACGTATAGAAAGGCTGATATCGGACATATACCGTTCGGACCGCCGACCATTTGCTTTACGCCGCCGCTGTTCCAACCCGTAGTCGCCACTCATGGCGGTATAGCGGCGGGGAATATCGATAGGGGTGGATGAGAGCATCCGAATCTCTCGCTCTCGCATGATCTCATTGGCCTTGCGTTTGCTCAGGCGGCGTCTCAGCTTGTTTGGTCCAACTTTCCCCTTCAGCAGCGACTCTGTACGGGAGAGTGGTCGCTGAAGCCCGGGCTCCCGATCATTGCGAGGGGGCGGTTGATTGTCGGCTTCGTGGTCAGCTTCGGAGGCAGCCGCCAGGGAAGAGATGGGACGGTGCGAAGGCGACCGGACGGAATCACGACGAGCGTCATCGGTGCGATGGGACAAGCGACTGCTTTGGCGTCTAGACGCCTTGCGAGACAGCTGTGGGTTCGTGTCGACGGACGGGTCCTCCAAGGATGAGTGCAGGGCGGCGGCCTCGGCTGGGCTCACTTGGATCGTGTGCCGCTTGCTTTTGCGACCGAACGGCCATATCGCCATGGCGCCCGGTGGTGCGGCTCGCGCCAGAGGACGAGTCAGTGGCGATGGGTAAACAAGTCGCGCGACGGACTGACTGAACGCATCGAGGATACAAGGGAGTGGATGGCGGAAGAAAAAATCGAGAAGGCTGTCAGAAGGTTGAGGGGGGCGAGATTAGCAGGCCACCGTCGTCATCCGTGTGGATCGGCAAGCAGTGACTGGGGGCGTGATAGGTGGTCAATACTCGATCTCTCCACGAGGAGTGGTGAGAGCCTTGCAAAAGGAAGGAAGACAAAAAACCCCCAGTTTGGGGGTGGTAACGAGGGTACAGGGTGGGAACAAGAATGGGTGCAAGAAGAAGAAAGGGAGGATGAAGGAAGGAGAAACAACAGCGGCCGATCGGGCTCAGGCCAGACCTTGGGCCATTTTTTTTCCCTCACCATCACCACCCACATTGTTATTTTACACGTTCCATCTGGGGTACATACAGCGGTTACTCAGGCACGGTCGCACGAGTGATCGGTCGTCAGGTCCCTGACTCCCTCAGTTCATTCATTCATTCTGGACTGCCTCTTTCCTCCCTCTACTCCTATACTTCTCTACTCGCCCTGGCCTGGCTGTCAATAGTCGACTTTGACGCCGGGTGGGCCCGACACAACCTTGGTTGAAGGGAACCAAAACGGAGCCGACCTGACGCGACCCGCAAGCCTGGACCATGGCGCTGGCTGTTCCTTAATTTTATTTCGTGTGTGTGTGTGTGTGTGTGTGTATTATTGACAGAAAAGAGGAAAAAGCCGCTAGCCGTGTGGCCTTCGGGCAGCGAAATTAATGGATTGATCGGTGATGATTATTGCTTGACTAGCCCGTTTGGCCGCCGTTCGAGCTCCCGCGCGTCAATAGCGCGGGTGGGATCGTCCAGACTCGCTGCCAAATGGGGTTGCGGCGAAGCCGACTAGTAGAAGCCGGGGTGCTGCTCGCGTGTCTCTGGCGTGGCGCCCTCGCTTCACCTTATGGGGGTGGGCCACGAACGCAGTAACTGCCGGGAATGTATGTTTGTTTGTTCGAGTGAGACGATGAGCAGAACAAGAAAAGTAAACGGGGAATAAGCATAACCGTCTACATATCAACTAGTCACGAGATCCTCCAAACCCTCATCCGAAACCTCTAATGAAATAATACAAACGCCGGACGGTATGCACGCGGTCATCGCAAGGGAGAGTGAGACCTAATAAATAGACATCAAATTCTTGTCTGCATCCCCCATGCGCAGAGACTCCCCCACCCCAGACGGATATATCCCCCTTGGTGCATGCATACATAGTACGTATTGGTCAACTCGGTAGTTAATGCGCAATGTATGTATGTTGAATACTGTGAGTTGAAATTCACTGGCTGGCTCGTTTCCTCAGCCGGTTCGGCTCTCGCTCCAGCACGCGATACCGGCGACTGCTACGGCCGCTGAGGAGTCGCTTAATCGACCATGACCCCGGCGCATGGCTGCGGGCATCCGACTCGCAGAAAGACCGGTTTTCGGAGCCTGAAGGGAGCTTTTGCGGTTTGGATTGGATGGGCGTTGTTAACGGTTGGGCATCCATTTCTTTGACTTCGGGTAGGACTGCCCGGAGAAGGACCGAGGGTGAGATGGGGTAAACTATATTTTCGCGAGAACGTTGATTTGATTATTGTTTTTCTTTCTTCTTTATTTTCTTGAACAGAGATGGGGTTGAAGAGATGTTAGATGTTCAGGGACAACCTCGTGGGTGCCACGACGAGGCGGGGTCAGTGGGGTTCGGGGCTTCGGATCTATTTTGGGGCTGATGTGCACAAAGAAAGAGATGTTTACTTCTTTATCGTCGGAGCCAGAGAGAAGAAAAAGAAAAAGAATCTTCACGTTGATCTATAGTGGACGATCTCCCTCTGGTCGGGCGTGCCGTGCTCCGGAGCCGGTCTCAATGCAACCTAGAATTTCACCCTGTTTCATGTCCCTCATCCGTAGACCATGATTGACGGAAATCCCCTCATCCATTTACTTTGACCTTTGATCAAGACAGAAGACACAACAAACCCCGAGAACCCGACGTTTCCACTAATGGTGGAGTCACCGGAGCGAAACAGCAGACCCCCCAACCCCGCATCGACTACACTTGCAGCCAGGAGGCACTCCTAGTGGCCGGAGGCGAGAGTCTTGCCCTGCTCGTATTGGGCGGAGTCTTTCGGAGCGCGGAGCCTGTGACCTTATCCTTGAAGAGTCGGTCTAGCTGGGTTTAAAAACCTCCGGGTTGGGATTTGATGAAACATAACATGTGCTGCCCCTCCTGCTGCCCTCGATGACTTGAAAAGGGTATTACTCGTCTTGTTTCCTGCATCTCTCCCGACACTGTGTGTCTGGTCTGCTTTGGCTTTGTCTGCTACTGTCTTGCTCATCACACACAAACAAACATACAGCCCTAACCAAACGAATCCCACACGCCCATTTTCACCGACTTTCCCTCCCAACTCTACCTCCCCTCTGTACAGAGAATGGCCGCTCTGTGGGTATTCATAGCCCTCGGCTATTTGATTCTCTACGCATTCGCAACGTTGCAAACACCAGAATGGCAGGCTCTCGCTTTCCCCTTGCGCCGTATCGCATCTTGAACACTCCTCGACGGAAGAGTTCAGATATTGATTGTTGAACTCTCCGAATATGCCGGTCTCTGCGAGAGGCATTCTTCAAAACGAAAAAGCAACTATAGCAAGCATTCTTTACCGATTATTGCCCAAGTCTGCCAATACCTGGATAGGCTCCGCCGTCGCGTGCGAAGCGAGAGCAACATAACATTTTACAAAGGTGATACCGGCACAAAACCAACTTCCGGTCAAACATTCATTGGGGGATATTTGGCTTTTACTGGGGGATATGGTGTTGACAGGCGTTTGGGGAACGGGATTTCGGTCGTGTTGTCTGGCACAACTCGGATGGCTAGGAACTACCCACACTCTACTCACAGCATGAAAACGGATCTGAGTTTATGACCTACTATGATTTGATGATAACGACGGGATGATTATGACGGGTGGCATTTTAGTTTCGATTTATTTTAGGGAACAGTTACTCGGGTTTGGCTGTTGAAACAAATCAAGATAGCCCACAATCACGTTCACAGGGAACTCCTCTTTCGGTTCATCTATAGTGCCTATGACATTGCTTCAACGTTTCCAGAATCAACGAAAGACCCAACATCATTATGGCTAGGCGCCGCGGATTTCTCCACGTAAAACCGCTCCAGAACCCCCCTTGCACCTGTATGGTCAAGGCGTTTAGCATCCCAGAAAACGTAACCCCAGCGACAGAACTCGTCACTTTCCTCCAGGGCTCCCATGTTTCCTAGTGGTAAGATTTCCCAGGCTGGTGGCGGATGCCATTCCTGGTCTTGGTCCCGAGAATTCTCGCCAGAGAGCAGCCACTCATGCTTTTCCGTACTCAAGTCTCGGTTTCCAGAATGGTTCCATCCTCTATGTGGCCACGAGCGAAAGATGGAAGCATCTCGGTGGACTTCAAAGCAAGTCCCTTCTGCCAGATAGTTGTTGTGCACATCATCTATGAGTTGCTTGTGACTTCCTTTTTTGAAGTAGGCAGAGTGCAGCAGCTCCAGACCGTGGGTGATTGCTCTACTGACGAGAGTTGCTCTTCTAAACTCTTTTACATTTGAAAGGTTAGTTGCATTCAAAGGAGCATTGTGCTTTCGAACTATCAGCTCAGGAAAACATCTTACCGTCGTTGATGTCAGCCTGGTTGAATATCTGGTCGAACTTGTCCTTTGCAAAGGCGTTGATACAGGCAATTCCCTCGATTTCCCAAGGCATATATATGCGGGTAAATCTTTCTAGGAGCGCATGGATTGGATTTTCCAATGTCCTCAACCAGCTTATCCCGCGGTCGCTGAGACCCATCGGGCCTCCTATTTTGAACTCATTGACACCGAAAATTATGCAGAATAGTTGGAAGAGATACAAGCCGCGCATAAGCCTCATTGTCTCGGTTTCCGTGAGGGGGCCCATTGCTCTGCGGCCTTTCAGGAGCCAGCCCAGCTAGATTGGCGAGTGCCCATTCGGTATATTCCTGTCCCAGCGGCTGGACGATAGAGGTGTGAAACCGTACTATTTCCGCAACTTGGTCTACGTTATATTTCCCAATGAGAAACGACAAGTCCCTCGAAAATCGTCCGCCGCCTTCGGAATGTTCGAGGGACCGCAGGATCCTGTCTCGGTGAGTGATTTTATTATATGGGTACCTGTATTTATATTCATATCCGGCCAGCGCATGGCGTGTAACGCCGGCCAGTGTTCTCTCGAGGCATGTACAAAGTAGAGGCCGACGACCGAGCAGATACTGATTGTGAAAGACGGACGATGCTCGAACCAACGCTTTCAGCTCAACAATACCGAGCAGAAAAAGAATCTGAATGCGAAGTTCCGGAGGAAGCATTTCCAGCTGCGCGTTGGGGTTGGGGCACCAGATGATAGTTCTTGCCTCGGATTTGTCCTCTGCAGAAATGGAAGTGGGAGAAGGTGTGAGTTGTGGAGAAGAGGAAATGGGTTCCATCTTGATAGTGGTGTTTTGCTGCTTGGGGGTGTATATGTTGTCGGACCAGAGGACACATATATAGCCGAGACGGGGGAAGTCCGGCTGTCTTTAAGGGGTGGACGTTCTCATGCAAGCAGGAGTGTCGCAGATATCTGCTTCAAAGCCGTTTCTCGTAAGCACTAGACATACTTAGTTATACCCAACTCATTAAGCGACGATGATTCCCGAGTCGCTTAGCGCTGAGCTAACTATGTGATTCGTGACAAAGAGCGCCCAAGGCGTATGAGCCACCGCGCTAGAAGAAAAAGCGTCTAGAGGCTATTGGGGTTGAAATGATTTAGCAAAGTGGAGCTGGGCTCCGAGTTTGTGACGATCTAGGAGTATCTTAGGTGTATATTCTATCAATGGACTTGGGAAAACTACCGGTTTTCGACAGTCAATAGAGGAAGACATGGATGACACTCATCACACTCTCCGTAGGCTGTTTGCGTTTCAGCCTCGTCAGCGGTGGCGGGTATCCATCTGGGAGTGTTGGTTCACACGCAATGCAACCCACGTCGCTGTGCCAATTACCTCCGAGGGCCTATCACGACAGTGTGGCTAGGGAAGAAACAAAGAATCGCGTCAAGTCATTCGCCATTAAATCATCTGCGCCGCCTGCGCTGCCTGCGCCGCCAGAACTTTTATTCACTCCGGGTGCCCAACGGCGCATGCTATCCGCCGTCGTAAGAGACACATGATCACCGCTTAAAACCAAATCTTGATCAGCTCTTCGCTGACGGCGCTAGGCGTCAAGACACCGCTATCCGTGATCAGCGCAGAGATCAAGTGTGGCGGTGTGAAATCCACCGAGTCACACAGAGGCAGCTCAATCGGTACGTCTGCGTTCGGGTCGGCCGCCGAGGCTTGTTGTTGGCTCTCCTCCGCAATGTCCTCCTCGGACTTGAACTCGATAACGTGCTGCTCAATGGGCAAGTCGTACTGTCCCAACGGATACAACCGGACGAACTTATGGCTCTCTGCAACCACGTAGAACGGCTTCCCGATCGCCTTTGCCAGGAGACCAATCTGGTAGGTGCCCATGCGAGACACGATCCCTCCGTTCTCCACGACTCCCTCCGCACCCACAATGACCATGTCGGCTTTCCCCAGAGCATATGCCACCGCTGATTCCGGGATCGTAGCAACCGGAACGCCCTTTGCTCTCAAGGCCCGAACAGTTTGCATCCCCTCGGGCTCCCCGGACGGGTCGCCCAAGCCCTTGCTGGTCGACGACATGACATAAATCACACGGAAGCGCACAACGGATGGGCCGCCCTCTTCATCCGCAGCTTTTCGCAACAACGACGCGACAGCCCTAGAGCCACCGTTGGTGAGCACCGTGCTGCCATCCCGGATGAACCCTCTTCCAAACGCCGCAGTCTTTTCTCGACTTTCCTTGGCGCGTCGAATGAATAGTCGTCCATTGGACAAGAGATGCGTCCGAATAGCTTTAAAGTCACCCGCAGGCCCCAGCTGTCCCGGCCGTTGTAACGTGGTGATCAGGTAGCGCTGAAAGAGATCGGTTCCGGCGGAGAGGCCGATTGGGTTGGGGATCGACTTCTTCAAGTGGGCGGTGGACTTTGCCAGTAGGTCCAAGGTTTCTGAGATGGTGGATGCCGCTGAGTGTGTGAGGAGAAGCACCAGGGCTTCAATGGCCGCGATGGGCATGGTGAGGTCGGGGTCGGAGCGGAGGAGTTCATTGTATGTTGTGACAATACTGTTCCGTGGGTGAGCCAGATGCGCACAGAATTGGTAGAGAGGTACTTACTCGAACCCTTTGGCCGCAGCCGTACTTGTGGGAGGCGCCATGTGGTGTGTAAATCGTTATGGTAGCAGGAAGGAAAGACCAAGCACGCAGGCGAGTCATTGAGTGAATTTGTGTTTGACGTGTTTGCACTGCCCCTCCAAAGGTCTAAACCCGATCGGGGGCGCATAAACAAGTCCGAAGAACATGACAACTCCCACGCTTCACGCGCGATGGCCTACAATAACCACCGCATGAGCCAGCAGTTCCATGGCTCGCAGCAACCCCATGGCCGCACTCGCAAGAAAGAAGACGAGAATGATGCCTTGATGCGCCTGGTGAGTGGCCTCCGGTGTCCCCGTCGCGTTCAACGCTGACCACCTCGCAGCCCGACAAGGAAATCGCAGGATGTATCAACGACATTGGAATCCCGTTTACCACGGCTGACCTGGCCAAACCCCAGCCGCAGCAGATCCAGATGGTATTCGAGTGGTTCGCGGAGCTACTCATGAATACGACTCGCGAGACTGTGGAGCCGGCCATGCACGCCGCGGCGGAGGATATCTGCGGCGACTACCCTGATATCGTTCCAAACGAGACGCGCAACCTCATGGGATTCTTTGTCAGTCTACGGCGGCTGCTGATGGAGGTGTGTTGTGCTGCCCAGCGGGTCCCTCCATAACTGACCGGAGACTAGTGCGGCGTCAACGATTTTACCTTTACGGATCTGACCAAACCGACACACGACCGACTCGTCAAGATTTTCTCGTACCTCATCAACTTTGTCCGGTTCCGCGAATCGCAGACGCCCGTGATCGATGACCACTTCAACAAGACCGAGAAGACCAAATCGCGCATTGACGAGCTGCTGTCCGACAATCAGGAAATTGAACTCCGCCTGAATGATATGCGACGGGATCTCAAGTCTAACGAGGGTCAGGTGCAGGACAAAATTAGGCAAAACAACGAACTAAAGGCGCGGCTGAAGGAGCTGCATACGGAACAAGCACGCGTCTCCGAGACGCTGGAACGGGTCAAGGCAGACAAGGCCCGGCAGCAGATGTTACTGGAGGAAAAGACGGAGAAGCTGGTCCGCACGCGGCAAGAAGCAGAGAAGCTGCGGCCTTATGTGCTCCAGTCCTCGGCCACTCTCCAGGCAAACTTGACCGAGCTGTCGGAGAGCCTGATGCGCGAGAAAGCGCAAATTGATACAATGGAGAAGCGAGCCCGCGCCCTTCAAACCTCGTCAGATACCTTCGCCGTCGTCTCTAATGATGTGCAGGCGTGCGTCAAGTTGCTCGAAGATATCTCCGTGGAATTACAAAAGGAAGAAGAGGAGGAGTCCCGCGCCGTAAGGAACAAGGAGGCCATCTCGGAGAGAGGCAACAGCGTTCGGGAGGTCGAGCAGACCGAGAAGCTCCTACAGCGACAACTGGCTCGGTGGAACGAGCGGATTGAGTCTCTACGGAAAAATGCACAGGAGAAGGCAGAGGTCGCCCAGGCGCGCATGGAAGACTTGCGGAATGTCCAGAAGCAATTGCGCGAGGAGCGTGCCGAGAAACAGCGCGACATGGAGCGGCGGCGGATTCGCATCGAGCAGACTGAGAAGAAGGTATGTCTTCCAACTGCGTTCAATCCCGGAAATATTTACTGATGACTGCAGATGGCCGATCTCAAGGAAAACATCGAGAGCGAGATCCAAGGCGCCCACGACCAGTACCTGAAGCTCGAATCGCACATCAAGCTCTACATCACGGAGATGGAAAAGTCGCTGTGATCTTACGTATGGATTGTTCAGGAGTTCAGCGGTCGGCTCTAGGATACCCGGGCGGTGCAGAGTCATTCTCACGGAGTTCTGTTGTGTTCCCATGTCTCTCAATTGTATCTTTTTTTAGTTAATTTTCAATCAAACTCGAACCAGCGTTGAGCCACTCGTCTCACGGTCACACCTCGGCCACCCCAGGCCCTCTCTTCGCCTCGGATTCGGACAGAGCCATTCAACAAGGGCACATGCGCGTCCCACATCTGTCCTCCGCAGTCGGTATTCGTAGGATCAATAGCATCGCAGCATTCACAGAGTCTCAGCTCGCTGTTCGTTCGAGAAGCAGCCTCGACAGCCGTAGCAAATGTTCTCGACAGACCTTGTGCCGAGAACTCTGTCGTCGAGACATGTAACGCCACCGTATCTAGAATGGCCAACAGTCGTGGTCCATCTTTCTGCGCAGGGGCCAGGACCGCAAGGTGCGCCCGCAAGCTTTCGAGAGATGGACAGAAGGCTACCCGGATCTTGCTGGACTTGGCCAAAATGGCGATGGTTTTTGTACGCAGCCCATGATTTGGTGGTTGCTGTGACTGAATCACGGCAGACAGCTGAGCGAGGAAGTCGTCTCTCGAGCCACAGACGATCAGGTGTGTGTCTGTGTGTGTTGTGTCGAGCAGTCGCTGTACAAAGTCGGTCACTAGCTCGCAGCCAATGATCCTCGGAGGAACAGATGCCATGGTTGCATGATGTCGTTCATGTTACCATCATCAGCGGCGGAAGAGAAAGTTGTTTGTCCCGCGGATATAGGAATTCCTGTTTCCTTCCTCCGCCTTCCTCCCCCCACCATCTAACTCACTCACTCATTCACTCACCCTCTCTCTCGTCCCTCCCTTGTGCAGGGATCCTGGCAAGATGGAAACAATATCCAGGATCTCCTCGATGCTGGAAACAGGTAAGCCTTTTTTTGTTCGTTTGTCTGCCGGACTGTAGCTGACCGTGGCCTCCGCTCGTGTGCGAACAGCTCGAGAGCTCACCCTCGAGGCCGCCCAGTCCGCCGCCAGCAATCGCAGCTCGAAACCCGACTACTCATCGCGCACTTACAGCGTCGCCCACATCAAGAAGCTGCTGGACAGCCGCCATGAACGCGAGGTCTTGGATGGGATGCGGAGGGTCATCTCGGTATGCCGACAGCCCGGGAATGGTAGAGGACACGGAGACTGACCCAATTCTTTCCAGTTGATGTACCGCTCCGAGCCCTCCCTCCCGTTCTTCTCAGCCGTGGTCAAAAACGCCGCCAGCGCCAACCTGGAAGTCAAGAAGCTCGTTTACATCTACCTGGTTCACCACGCCGAGGCCGAGCCGGACCTGGCCCTGCTGTCGGTGAATGCGATCCAGAAATCGCTTACAGACCAGAACCCGCAGGTGCGGACTATGGCATTGCGGACCATGTCTGGAATTCGTGTACCGGTG